GAGAGAGAGAGAGAGAGAGAGAGAGAGAGAGAGAGAGAGAGAGAGAGAGAGAGAGAGAGAGAGAGAGAGAGGGGGGGCGCACTCAGGTAAGGAAAGGGGGAAGTGTTGCAAGTCCCGGGTTCATCAAAATTTGAAAGTTTGAGTGGTTTTGTGTGTGTGTGTGTGTAGGTGTGTGTGCATGTGTGTGCGTGTGCATGTGTGTACTCACCTAGAGGAGAACTTTGATTGTGTGTGTGTGCTTTGATTGTGTGTGTGTATATGTGAGTGTGCATATGTGTGTGTGTACTCACCTAGAGGAGAACTTTGCCACTAACAACATGAGAAGAGCGAGCGCTAGTATACCACCAATCACGTACTGCGTGTGTGTGTGTGTGTGTGTGTGTGTGTACTCACCTAGAGGAGAACTTTGCCACCAACAACATGAGTAGAGCGAGCGCCAGTATACCACCAATCACGTACTGTGTGTAGGCCTTCGGTACACTCCGCCACGCTGTGCTCAGTGGGCCCTGCGTATACAGACAGAAAAAACACACATTGTTAGTGCCAGTTTGGGGATAGTTTCAGTAAGAATTTTATGGCATTTGCAACAGAAATAGGTCAAACCAGTGCCAAAGATTAGTTAGTTTTAGTACGAGTTTTACGGCACTGGCAACACAAATAGGTCATATAAGTGCCGAAGATTAGTTAGTTTTATTAAGAGTTTTACGGCATTTGCAACACAATAAGGTCACATAAGTGCTCAAGAATAGAGGTGTTACAAGAGAGTAACATGCACAAAAAATAAGAAGGGAGATAAGGAAGATAGATGTTTGATAGGAAAGAAGGAGCAAGCCACATCACAGCAAATTAGTGCACCAACTAACCACCCACAAAAACATTGTCAGTGAAAAAGCAGAGAAGTTTTCTGAGTGTTCTAGTAGGGTTTGCTGAGGGCAATAGCAGTTGTAAAGTGCATCCATCCTGGATATGTGATTACAAAATTGCATTTCTTCTTCTTATTATAGATTTGTTTGAGAAAAGATAAAATAATGCTTTATTATCCCAGAAGGAAATTTTTCTTGGCTGTACAGGACCGTAAAAACACATGCAGGTATATATAAAAATGTACATTATATATATTACTCTATAATTAAAATTCAATATGAAAAAAGGGGTGTGGTGTGGTGGGGTGGGGTGGGAGTTTCTTCTAATAGTTGGTTCCCATTGATTACAAAAAGATGGAGAGGTGGGGGAGGGGGTTTCGATGAATCATAATCCTCTGTTTGAGAAAAGAAAGGGGTAAATTTGGTCTCATTACAATTTCATTATCAGGGTGAAATTCTTCAGTACAAATGTAAGTGTGTATATGTGTGTGTATATATATATATCAGAGTGTGTGTGAAAGTACATGTATGTATGAATGTGTGTGCATCCACATATATATGTGTGTGTGTGTGCATGTACATGTGTTAGTGTGTGTGCGTGCGTGTGCGCAAGTGTGTGTGTATGTGCTCCTGCACATATGCATGCATGCGCGTATGTGTAAGTGTGCACGTGTGTGTGCATGTGCATGCGCCTGTGGGTGTGTGTGTGTGCATCCACATGTGTGTATGTGTGTGTGTGTGCATCCACATGTGTGTGTGTGTGTGCATGTGCCTGTGTGTGTGTGTGTGCATGCGCCTGTGTGTG